CCTGCAACTGAAAAGGCTCTGTCTCCCCTGGTCACAAGCCGAGACCTGGGAACAACTAAAAGCTTTTGATTTACAGATCTCAGAGATCTATTTGGAATGTGAGGCTGTAAAAGCTCAGTGAGATAATGAGGTGCAAAACCATTTAGCTTGTGTGACATTAGCGTGTGACCGAGCTGCTCCTGGAACAACAAACACATGTTCGTCTGTAATGGCTGCCATCTACCGGTGTTCTGAAAAAGTTTGTATCCCTGAAAAAACTTTTCCCCACCAGAGGGGGCGCTCACGAGTAGGAAGTAATCTGCTTTTCCCCCACAAGATGGCCCAAATCTCATGTGAGGTCTGACTTTTGTGTTGATGCCTCCTGGTGGACTATGTGTAAAATGCCAGAATTCATATGATGCTGCTACAGCTGATATATATTTGTTGTCAAAATACCTTTTAGTACATATGTTGTTAAAATAAAATGAGCAGTCTAATGATCATTTTACTGATACGTATAAAGACTGTAAAGGCTGAAAAATCTTGAAGTCTGTATGAAATCGGAGGTAGTTTGAGGATTAAATTTGTTATGCTTTTTAAGCTGAAAAAATGGGGGTTGTATTATACACGAATAAATACGGTAATTAAAAGGTGTGTGAGTGTGAGAACTGAACACTGGATTTCCAGAAATTCTTTTTCTGCCRTCCTTTYATTCCTGATCTGACTTATTTCTGGYCGGTGTGGGTCAGTCTACCTCTCAGACACATCGTTGTCGTTCTGCAGGATGAAAGGGAAGCTAAAATTTTAAATCAACAGTTCCCTCCACAGAGAGGCTTTTTAATCCTCTCAAACACCATCTGGCACCTTCCATTTCTCCCTCCACATCTGAGGCGTCCTTTCAGGCCAGCCCCAAGAAGCCCCTCACCTCGTTTTGAATCTTTGGCCGGCCGAAGCTGCTGCTGTCGTTTTGATTTATGACCACACCTGCCAACGATCATTACCCCAGATGCTGATCTTCTCTGCACCTACTTTGTGCTTTTTGTTGATTTTGATTGGATCTGATTTACGGCCTGCCTCGACGACCTCCTCACTTTCAGAACATTCTTCTGTGTGTGTGTTCTGGCCACCGAGGCAAACACATCTGCGGCTCAACATTATCTCTCAGAAAAACTGAGAAATGGCCGTCGCAGCGGGGGGAAAATGTGGATTGAGTGAAGTTTGGAATCTCTCGCCCCAATTAATTGCTGTTCTTCTCGAGCCCGAGGCAGATTTTCCTGTGACAGCTGCCCAACCGAAAGAAACTTTGATTTTGAGGCCAAGAGGTATTGAATTCAGATTTGACCAAGTCTTGGACCTTCATTTGCAAGATTTCCTGCCAACTGGCAWTTAGGTTCATCTTGGTGAATTATTGTTATTTTTTTATTTGAAGGCATCACCAGCTGCTTTTTGCAGGTGGAAATGGAAGAGGCTGATCGGGGTGGAGGAGGTGTAATTTCAGGATATTTCGGTGGAATTAAAACCAGACAATTTAATCTGTAAGCCTACTTTGGGAGGCGGGGAACAATTTAATCTTCTGCCAGTTAGACAACGTCCTCCTTCGGTGAAGGACAATTACATCTGACCAACTTTGACACCCCTAACTCAAATCTGCTCACATCCTTCTCCTGTATTCTCGGGGCGCAGCTATTTGCCTTCGCTAATGGCAGATAGCTATCCACCTCTTCCTGTAAAGAAGATGAAACTTACCAGGACTGGTTTCTGAAGGGCAAACTTCACTTAATTTTTCACATTATTAGTGTGGCACCATCCATTTTAACTTGTCAGCTACAAATATGAACACAAGATGTTTATCTGCAGGTGTAATAACCGGGAAGGTGGTGATCCAGAGATTCCTTAGTCCGGATTTACACTACATGCGACTCYGCTCCGCTGCGGGTGCGCATGTAGTGTAAATCCGGACTAAGGAACACCTGGAACATGGTGATCTCGAGGTTCCTTAGTCTGGATTTACACTACATGCGTCTCCGCTGCGCTGCGTTGCGCAGGTCGCAGCTGTTCATTTGTGTCTCAATTTAAACAGCGTCCGCTCCGCTCCGGCTCGACAGAGGGTGTGGAGAAAGGAGATCATGCGATAAATTTAGTGATAAGTGTGGAAGTCACAGCAAAAAATAATTAATTCTGTGAAATACGAACTCCAAACCCAGCTGAAAACATTGATATAAAAGCTTTTGATACCTATGTTGAAACTGTCTCGCGGTCGTCTTTCTGAAACATCTGATTTCAAAATAAAATCCACGTGTATCGTGTGTGTACACATATGCTTCATGCTGCATATTTCCGTCTGCTTCCCAAACAGAACGATACATTCTGACAGCATTTGTGTAGAAATATATCCATATATTGATTAATATAGCTGGGATTTCGACATTTTTCCGACAAATTATTCCATCTAATAGAGTCTTATTTTGAAAATACGGATKTTGTRCTCRTTTCTCTTCCTGTTGGTGCGACGTAATCTTKAAAAATKGACTCCGGTGTCCGKCAAAAATAGGATTGGATCTAATTTTGCCRKATCGCMGTCYGCTCACCGCYRCCRTGCGCAGCCAGTGTAAACACTCTYAYTGATTATAATGGGTGTGTATTTGCTGCGGAGGTTGGAGCGGAGYGGAGCRGAGCCGGARCGCATGTAGTGTAAATTAGTKGTTAAAGGGGACATATCATACAAAATCCCCTTTTGTAGCCATTAAATGCATTTTGTTGTGTACTTGGARTCTCTRGGAGTGCAGAAAAGTTTAATTTAGTCTCTCCTGATGCTSTAAGGATATCATTATRATGYGTTTGGGTCAAACTTTTCAACTCTATCAGTTTTCTSTATTTTCTATGACATTTTCTTGACTRTTATGTCACAGAATTTGTGACAGAACTGCCAAATAAGGTCTGGACTTACCAATTATAATTGGGTGGTCTTCATTTTCTTCTGGCTCTGGGGTCAGACAAGTCTTCCGTTGTTGACATCTTTTAATTAATTTATAATTAAAATATTTCTGYGCTTCTAGATAGTAGTAAATCTCCGTATAACTCCTTTAATCTGTAGGAGTTCCAGCTGCCAGAAACCCCTCTCAGCGTTACTCTGGGTTGCTGACAGCGACGTCCACCATCAGCTGATCAAGTGCTGTATTAGTAACTGCAACACAGTCAGTGTGAACCCTGTCAGGTGTTGTTAGCCGCAGTGATCACTGCTATGGAACGTTTCTATCTGGGGAGATAAAAACATGCAGTATTCAGTAGGGCCCCATCTCTCAGTACACCTGAGGGGGAGAAAAAAACTTTCCAAAAATAAATGGATAGTGTCACAAGCAGCGATACTGATCTGATTCATTTTCACAGATTTTGTCATGACTGTTAGATGGAAAAGATTGAAAATCCAAACAAACACAAGACAGAAGTTCATCTAAAATACACTCAGCTTTCGAAAAATGACAGATGTGTGCCTTATCTCAGCGTAGTTTTTAAAATGTCAAAAATACCAGAAAATTTACCTGAAAATTAAAGGCTTTTGTAGGAAAATTTCTTCCTGATCTACTTTGAAATCACGTGTCTTCAGAAATAATCTCTTTAATTTTAATCCTTTCAGTTTCCTTTGAAATCGACCATTTTGCTCAGATTCTACTGACTCTTTTAAGAAACACCTTAAGACATTTTTAATTCTGACAGGCTTTCAGTTAAGTGCTTTTTACTGCATTTTAGTTGTTATTTATTGTATTTGTGACCTGTTTTTTGTTGTTTTTAGTTATTTTGCTCTCTGTTAAGCACTTTGTGATGTTTGTGTCTGTATAAATAAAGTTTACTTTAGTTCACTTTCCTCCTCCAGCTGCTGTAGCTCTGGGTAATCCCTTCGTAAAATGTGTGAAGCTTGGGGATAAAGGGTTGGACGTCCCGCTAGCATTCTAAACAAACAAAAATCATGTTTTCACACTGCAAAAACTGTCCATCTTACCAAGTTTTAAAACCTTATATCCAGCTAAAAAGTCTTTTGATCTTG